CCACTGACCGGTTCTAAGCCATATCACATAGACTCCAACCATTGGTTTCTTGTACCGCGGACCTCAACCGGATAGCCTTCATCCAACCTGAACCTACTTCGGGTAACATTGTGTGATGAGGCAGACGGTGTGGTTCAGATCCCACCGACCAAGCTTACTCTTAGACATGGACACGGTCACCAAGGAGTCACTGCTCTATAGTTAGGAAGTACTATCCAAAGAAAACAGTTACAGAGTTGGCTAAGAATAAACGTGCCGAAATCAACAGAACCACGTGGATTCATACCAAAGTAGAGATTCACACTATCTGGAATTGACGGGAAAGCTTATTTGCAAGATTCCAAAGAATATTGCTGATGCTGTCAATAAAAGTCAAATAAAAACGGGTGGGAAAGATGTTGATAGTGGTGCTCATTAGTGGAATAAGGCTTTGAACTTGCGAGATCAGTGACATCGATGCATATAAACTAAGTTCGTTTAGTGGAGAATATTCGTAGCTCAGGTGGATGGTCTTGGTTGCATCGTGTTCTCTGAGCTGGGTTGTTTAATCGTGAAGCTTTCATCGCCTCGCTAGACGACATCGTCAGCACTAACTTCAGTATGAGGTGAGCTGTCAATATCTCTCCGTGAGTGGTTTAGTAGCTTGCCTTGACGAAGCGGTCCATGATTGGTTGTTTCCTGTGATTGTTGTGTCATTGACTGTATAGACTTTCCTGATGGCTGTCCCTCTGCCTGATCTCTGACCTTTCTGTCGTTATCATCTTTCTTATTGGTTGATAGATTGGGTCTATGTCTAAACATCTGTTGATTGCTAACTGACTGACCTGAATACCAAGCTACTAGGAATTCTCTAATATTTTTGTATTTCTTCTGTCCAGAATTTCTACATTGTCGAAATTGAATTCATGTCCGTAATTTAATCAGTCAGTCAATGTCAACATAGGACCAGGCATTGCTGCGTAATGGTCCGAGTTGCCACAGCTCATATCAGTACATCAAGTAGAGAGGTAATGAGGTGAAGGATGAAGATAAGTGAATTCAGTCAAAAGAAATATAAAGTACGAGAAGAAAGGAAAGAGGAGTGACAAAATGGTGAGATTCGGTATAGCATCGTTAAAATGAGGATAGTGTGTGTATACATCTGCGCCACTGACATTGGTTCTGAGCCATATCCCCTAGAGTCTCCAACCACTGGTTCCTCTTGTCCCGTGGACCCCAACAACCTAGTCTGTATCGCCCCACATGGCTCAAACCAACAGTCAGAGACTTCATACATTGGTGCCATGTTTTGGTGTGGCCACCTCGAGCCTTTTTCCAGCCTGCACCTACTTCGGCCAACATTGTGTGACGAGGCAATCGGTGACTGGGCATACATGGTACGTGTCCCAACCATCTCAGTCGATGAAGGTTCACAACCTCGTCAACTGACTTACCTCTTCTCCCTAAAACTCTACTCCTGACTTCTGCATTACTCACGTGGTGACACCACGGAATACGGCGTATACTACGAAGGCAACGGTGGTCAAACACCTGAAGCCTTTTTATATCTTCCACTTTCAATGGCCATGTTTCACAGCCATACAGTAGAACAGAGCGGACTGCTGTGCAGTACACGCGACCCTTAATAGACAAACGAATATCACGGCGGCGCCATAGGTGGCGCAAATTGGCAAAAGCCAATCGAGCCTTTTGTATCCGTGCAGAGATTTCATCGGCAACTAACCCACCAGGGTTGATCCTGCTTCCCAGTTAAGTGAAGTGATCAACACACTCAACCACTTCACTCTCTATTGTTAGCCGTGGTACCCTGAAGACCAGTCCTGGAGCAAAAATTTGCATTTGGGTGGTGAAAATCGCATCCCAAATATTCTCAAATTCTCACTCAGTGTTCAGAAGACTCAGCAAGTTTTCAGCATCACTTAACAGGACTATGTCATCTGCATATTCCAGGTCTTACGAAAATTCTCCTGTGATTAGGTCAACGTCTGTGTAATTAGGTGACGAGAGAGACCTCCATAAGAATATCTATGATAAAATTAAATAAGAATGGGGATAGTGGGCATCCTTGACGGACACCACTTGATGAGTATAGCTCCCTGGACAACTCGCCATAGGCTCTAACATGCCCACAAGTGTCCGAGTAGAGAGCTTTCAATAAGGTGATGTACTTACTAGGCACGCCTTTCAATGACAGACATTGCCATAAGACTTCTCGATCAACGGAGTCAAATGCCGCCTTCAGGTCGAGAAATACAGCTATTGTCGGGCGTCTGTAAGCGTGTCTGTGCTCCAAAACCTGGCGCAGCGTGAATATTTGGTCGATACATCCACGGCCAGGTCTAAAGCCTGCTTGGTTTTCTCGGGCTTGCTGTTCCCGAGCTCCACTCAGGCGTCGGAGAATTATAGAACCTAGGATCTTGGATACTATGTTCGTCAGGCTGATTCCTCTGTGGTTATCAGAAGAGGACTTCTCGCCTTTCTTGAAGACTGGGATGATGAGTGACTTAGACCAGTCGGAGGGGATCGTATTTGATTCCCTCATACTGGCTAACACTTCCGTTAACCTTACTAAGAGCACTCTACCACCACTTTTGTGTACCTCAGGAGGTAGTCCGTCTGATCTTGTCACCTTTCCTCGTTCCAAGTTACCTACCACTTACTCGACTTCTGCAAGTGTTGGGGGGCCTGTCTCTATGTCCCATTCAGGATCCGACTGGATAGCGGGCAACGCAATGGTGGCCGGAGGCCAGTTAAACTGCTCCTCAAAGTGTTCTTCCCATCGTTCCAGTCGTCTTCCCTGCGAGTGAATCGCAGATCCGTCCTTCTCCTCTGTAGCCTCACTAACTGTTGTTGACCTTTTCCCACCAGTTTCCTTAATCAGTCTAAATAACTGTGTACTATTACCGACCGCCGCTGCCCTTTCCATCTCCTTAGTCTTCGCTGCCCACCACTGTACGCGATCGTTGCGTAGACTTTTTCTCAATCTACTTTTAAGTTGCGCTCGCTCTTCATTGTACTCAGAGCCCACAGGGATGCGTTCACGTGCATCCATTAGTTTGGAAGAAGCTTCTGATATCCACTGGCTCTTTTTGACACTATTTTGAAGTCAGTTACAGTATTCAGTGCTGCTTTTACAGCAGACTGAAGATGGCACCAAGCTTCTTCTGGATGAGTGACAGTCTTTTGTTGCGATAACTGCGTAGCCAACTTCTCACTGAACACGGCTTTGGTGTTTCCGTTGTCCAACAGCACTCGTAGTGGTTTTGCTGCCAGATCTTTCTTACGTCCATTGAGACGCAGGCATATACATGCTCGGACCAACGCATGACCGCTGTCCAAACGTATCCAGAAGGAGCGGCAGTCTTCCATCGATCCTCTCCAGCGATGACTAATAGCAATGTGGTCTATCTGCGTCCATCGTTGAGTTGAGCTCGGTGGACGCCAGGTCAGACAGTGTCTTTCTTTATGTCTGAAATTGGTGCTGGCTAAAAATAGGCGGTTATCTGAGCATAGTTGTAATAGGTGATCACCGTTATCTGTACGTTCAGCTGGGATTCCGAAAGTGCCACCTAAGTGCCTTTCTGTCTCACTCAGTCTACCCACTTGTGCGTTGAAGTCACCTACAACAACCACCACGTCCGAACGTTCAGCTTTCGAGAGGACGTTAGAGAGTTATCCACATGCATTGAAATGAGTGATGAAATGTCGTGACGTTTAATAGCCAATTGGTGTTCATGTAGACGAAGGTGAAGAGGGCAACCACTGTCGAATGTAGTGTTGACTACAGTTATTGCAGTTGATTTTGTAAATGATATTCGGTGTGTTTTCTTTGGTTGTCGCATCCTTTGGTCTGCATAATAGTGTTTGGAGGGAATTTGTTGGTTTATGAGCCACACCAATTATAAGCGGTTTCAGTAATCTTGTTGTGATTTCTGACATTCTTTATGTATGGTAGGACGATTCGTTTGCTGATTTTTGTCGATGACTTTGTAGTTGATGATGCACGGGATAGGCATCTTCTGATAAAGTTTCGTGGGTAGCCGTTCTTCTTTAGGATGAACACCAAGTAATTTTCTTCGTTTCTCCATGAAGTTTTTGTGCTGCAGTGTGTTCTCGCTCTTCTGAATAGAGTCTGCACGCAACTGATTTTGTGTGTCGTTGGGTTGTTGCTATTGTAGTTGAGGATTTGGTCAGTGTGTGTTGGCTTCATGTACACTTGGGTTTCCAGCTTTCCGGCATTTGTCCTACTGACTAAAACATCCAGGAATGGTAGTTGGTTGTTTGACTCCTTCTCCACTGTGAATTTGATGTCATTGAAAACGTTGTTGATCAAACTGTGGGTGTTTTCTATATAATCTTTTTTAATGATGACAAAAGTGTCGTCCACGTAACGAATCCAAATTTTTGGTTTGATCACGGGTAGGATTGTCGAGCTCTGAAATCTGACTCCAAATTTATATACGTGTCCAGATACACTATCGCCTATTTATAATTCCCGACACTGCTGATCCACCTGCGTGTAAATATCTGGAGTTAACGCGAAGTATATATCAGGATGTTGTATTGGTCAAACAGCGAGCAAAAAGTCTTTATCAGTACAACTAAATAAAAATGTTCAATGAGTTGGTATATATATCAACACAATACAGTGAAATAAAATGTTACAGGATGATTGCTTACAGTCTCTGCATCACTGCTTCTGCAGTTAGTCTGGATACCGGTGATCCCATTGGAGTTCTTTTCATCTGTTTGTATATCTTGCTGTTGAATTGGAAGTATGTTGTCTCATACAAAGGTCGACGAGTTCCATCAGACTTGAACATTTAAGTTTTGTGCGTTCTGTAAGGCTTATGTCTTCATTGAGCAGAAGTGACATAGTTTCCTTGGCCAATTGGGGTTCGATGGATGTGTATAGTGCTGTGACATCAAAGGATACCATTAATTCGTCGTTTTCTATGTTAATGTTTTTGATCTTTTCTAAGAATTCCGTTGGTGATTTGATGGAATGTCCTCATGATTGAACGAGGTGTTTCAGTTTTCTCGAGAGTTTTCTTGATATGTTGTATGTTGGAATTCCCGGAAGTGAGACAATTGGTCGTAGAGGAATGTCTAGTTTGTGTATTTTTGGTCTGCCGTAGACCGAGGAAGGACAGGTCCATTCGATTTCATTCTCCATTTGTCTTGCTTTGTTATTTCTTTTGCTTTGAAGAGTTTGTTCAAGGTTTTATTGATCTGGTTGTCGAACTTCTGGATAGGGTTGGTTTCAAATAGTTGATATATATTTTCGTCTTTGAGTAATTCCTCTGCTTTCCTGATGTAGTCTTCTTTGTCCATGACTACTGTAGTGCGTCCCTTGTCTGCTGGAGGTATAACGATGTCTTTCCTATTTTTCAGCCTTTTTAATATTTTCTGTTCTTGAGTGTTCATTTGGGCATGATGTTGCATTTGCCTGGTCAGTGGTACGATTGTTTGCTGTATTTTTTGTTGAGTGACCTCATTTAATCCTGATGTTTTAAGAGACGACTCTAATGCCACAAAGAATTCTAGTTTCGTGGCATCTCTTGTGTCGTAATTCAATCCTTTTTGAAGTTCTTCCATTTTTGTAAGTGGTTTTTTTGATAAGTTGGCAACGCAGTTATTTGTTTCATCGGTTGAAGGTATTTCTGAGATTTGTGAGCAGCTCTTTCCTGAGGACGTTTCTTCGTTGTTGTTTGTATCGTCTGCTTGATTTTTCAATTTCAGTTGTCAGCGTTGTCATGTGTTGTGTCGTGAGTATGCTTTCTAGTTTTGCCTTTTGATTCTTAATCACTGATTGGTATTTCCGAATCCGATGATGTGCATCTGTGATCATCAATCGTACCATTTGTCTTCCACTTTGTTCGGCTATTTTCCATCCCATTGAGCAGTTAATCGGTGGTCTATATCTGAGAACACAATGCAACCAAGACCATCCACCTGAGCTACTATTATTCTCTACTATTTCAAAATTATACGAGCGTAGCGCGCTTCTCGTTATTCGGAGATGGGAAGACTTCTCCAGAAGGCAAGTTTCCACAAGAGAACAACTATTTTTTCTCCGTGAGTGCCTACGTCAGCATGTTCTGCCGAAGAGTGTCAGACATAGATCACTGATTAACTGCTCAATGGGATGGAAAATAGCCGAACAAAGTGGAAGACAAATGGTACGATTGATGATCACAGATGCACATCATCGGATTCGGAAATACCAATCAGTGATTAAGAATCAAAAGGCAAAACTAGAAAGCATACTCACGACACAACACATGACAACGCTGACAACTGAAATTGAAAAATCAAGCAGACGATACAAACAACAACGAAGAAACGTCCTCAGGAAAGAGCTGCTCACAAATCTCAGAAATACCTTCAACCGATGAAACAAATAACTGCGTTGCCAACTTATCAAAAAAACCACTTACAAAAATGGAAGAACTTCAAAAAGGATTGAATTACGACACAAGAGATGCCACGAAACTAGAATTCTTTGTGGCATTAGAGTCGTCTCTTAAAACATCAGGATTAAATGAGGTCACTCAACAAGGTTGTCCGCTTTCTGAATTCAGCATGACAATTATGAACATTTAACTGTCCACCTACAAACACGGCATAAGTTCGGAAGGGGATGGTGTTCTATTGTCTTAAAATTTTGTCCACATTGGTTCTTGGCATTCAATAGCAAACCATAGTGAGACTTGCGAATTGATAAACTGCGTAGCAAGTCTCCAATGGTTTAAATTCCTTATCCATGTTTATCGCCAGCGCGATGACTTCGTGTTAAAATACATTGAGAATTGGAGTAAATGCAACCACTGTCTCATCCCAGCCAACTTTAATTCATCATATGTGGGTGAGGCTGAATTATTTCTATTTTCTAGTAATGTTTGTTATGAGGTTACTGCGGACTATTATGAAGAATGCTTCGGTACAGCATATCTGTGAGGATGCAAGTTTTGCTTCTACTCGAGGTTGTTAGCTGTTGGTCCTTATCTTCACATATGACTGACGGCAGGGGTAAGTTTATTATCTTCTCCATTGTAACGAGTAGTAACCACGTGGTTTCATCCTTCAAGTTGAGAGTTTGCGATACGATCCCAGCCTAGATTAAATCTCGCCTGGATGTATAACATACGAACATTATGGCTATCAGGACCCGACATAGATCTGTGGGTTGTAGACTGTTAACTCTTCTGCTGATAGTAAATTGTCCATATTCAAGTGACCGCTTAAAACAGTTGAGTCCGCTGCGCGGCACTCCATAAACCAACAAATCGCCCGTAAATTGATAGGCAGAATAGAAAACTTGGACCAAAAAAGCCTATGGGATCTGTTCGTATTTACTAATTCCGAGAGTTTAGAACCAGGTATTGTAACTAGAAATTCTCGCAAAATCTAATAAGTTGTGCGGAAAGAAGCTCGTTGAAGATTATCGTTGTTGTCTCAAGAGACTCCTCTTTCATTGAATGAACTGACATGCACTTTGTCGTATCAGTATTTCACACTGACGACTGTTCATAGCAAGCGTCAAGCATTCTCAGAAGACTAGTGAATACTTGGTAACTTTCCTGAAATATTTTGAGGATCAAACTAATATTCATTGAAAAAGGGCGTGCTACGATTGTTCCAGAACCTTAACCCTGGCCCAGATAAGCTACATCCCTACATATTGTCAGGACTAGTGGATATCATTAGCGAATCGTTTTCTATACCGTTTAATGTTGGTAGACCATTTGAAATCACTGAGAGTCGGAAGGGCGCTACTTCCCACAAAACTGGGCGTAGACATTTAGTCGCTGTGGTTGGGGTGTCATCTCTGGTTTGGTTCCAGAATATTTGAAAGGCAATAGGTTTCTGGTCATTGAACAATATGCTTTCATGAGCAGTCACTCGTGCCTAATGAACCTCTATGTTGCATCAGAAGAATAAAAACGTCTACCAATTCAAGTGTGCGTATGAATGTAATGCTTATTGATTTCAGTGAAACCTTCTACAAAGTCTCTCATTTAGAGCTTGTAGCAAAACTGGAGAGTTTTGGGGCTGACAAGAAAATGAGGGACTCAGTTAAGGACTTTGGTAGTGAAAGAAGGCAGGGAGTCAGGTTTAAGGGGATACTATCCTTGTGAAAACCAATGAAAAGTGATACACGTCAAAGTGAAATTCTAGACTCTCCTACATGCAGTTTATCTCAACGAACTATCGGTAAATTTTCAGTCAACCTGTCCCTTGTTTTTAGGCGGAGTTAAAATCTTGAGGACCGTGCCTAGTGATGAGGACTGGCTACTTCTATGAGACTTGAGTAAATCAGCTAAATGGCCTGGTAAGTAGTTTCTGAAGGTACAAACTAAATAAAGTACAGTTATCGGAATCGGTTATGAAGATTTGTATAACCCCACAATAATGATAGGCCATTACCCGAGGTTTCTGTTGATATTGCTGAAAATCGGTCATAGTGACGCAGATGTATTCACTATGACGTCTTCTAAAGCTTGCATTTTTTCAATAACCTTTGTCTTTAAATTGTTTCTCCTCTCAAACACCTTTGTGTACTTCAATATCAGTCTTTTTCTATGCATATTGTTTGCGTGCTATGGTGAAGCGATGTGCTTTTCTACGAAGTTCTACGTTTATTTTTGTTTATCTGAAATACTGGTAATAGTGTATAGGCCTGTTTTTCTGCAGTAACTCCATCCTGTTTTTGTAGGTCTTCATCTTCAAGAGATAATATTCACCTACTTTTGGTGTAAATTATTATGATGGAAAGGAGTAAATTCTCAAGCTAAACTTAACGTAGGAAACGGAACAACCAGAACCGGTGTGAAATTCCCTACTGTATTGTGGAAGTATGATGACTCATTAAGTTGACCATGTCATTGAAATAATTCATGTTTACACTGTGGAAAGGATAGGTAAAGTTTTCAGAGAAAGAAGATAGCCAGTCAATCCATCCATGCCAGTCAGTTTTCAGGACAGTGACATCTACTTTTAAGTCACCTTTATGTAAGAAAATATTTTATTTCGACAGCAAAGTGGGTCACCAACAGGCTATTTTTTTGCGTATCGTTTTAAATTTTTCGTTTAAGATTTTGCAGTAATTCTTGGGATCACAATATTTTCAGGACTGCTAAAGGTAAACTTATTTTATAGCCTTTTCTTATTCCCAACAAGTTTTTTAACGTTTTTGTTTATTCAAGAGGGATAGTTTAAAGGTGATGATCAGGTATATCAGAGAACAAAGTGATATCGACATTAAAGATTCTATGCCTCATGTGCTGCTAATCTATGCTTCATGGAAAAGGTTGACGGACTGGCACGTGTCCATAGGGCAGACCAAGCTAATTACAAATCTTGCCACCTCTATAGAGAGCGGTTAGCATGACTGAGCGTCTTCCACTTATCATGTTCCTCATCTGGAATTATCTTCTAGATGTTTTTTGGTTGATTTACTTCATCTAGGATTGTTATTCGTGACCATAAAAAAGCGCCCAAAAGAAATGGTTGTATCATCTTCGAATGGGTTTCTGTGTTTCCCACATCTGTAACTCGTTACGGAAACAAGTGGTGACAATTTCTGGAACTATTAGCACAGTCTGTTTAACTTGCAATCTTTATCACTGAAGACTGAAGTAATGACTTCATCGACAAAGGAATCGGGGTTAACTAACGAGTCTTCTGACGCAGCTTATTCTATGATAGCAGCAATGTTTGCACATCAAACGTTTGGACGAAGTTGAACATTTATTATCATATTAAAAGCCCTAAGGCTTGGACGCAGCATTACGTGATTCCTATTTGCTACCGACAGAGGGTGTCGAGACATGTTGCACTACAGCGTTCTCCGTACAGTCGGGGGTAATCTGCTGTCAGTTGTGTCGGAAAGGGGGGGGGATACAAATCAGCCTACCTTATGTAAGGTGCATTAAAATTTCTTGGGATGGTGCAGTGCCTGCAATTATCAAGTCTGAGTGCAAAGTCATTGTATGTTTTGATTTGGATGCTACGGATCGTACCAATGGCAAATGTGCTTCCTTGAAGGCTAACTTCACTAATGGCTTATAGACCTTGTATAACATAAAGGAGCACTCTACCTCACTTAGACCACTTGTTTCTGTTGTACATGGATCAATCGAATTCCGAAAAATTTCGAAATTAACCGCATCTTGGTGACAGCTAGTGACTGTCATGCTTTATTTGTTGATACCCCTAATCATAATTTCTTAAATAAAGCTGTTGACATTTTTTTTACCCCTATGAAGCAATTTATTTTTCATGGCTTATCTGCAGTAGTTTCGGAAGCATCCCCTTGGAAGACCTATATAAAATAAAATAACCAAAAGATCACCATCAATTTTAGGCTGTAGAATGGAGTATAGCATACTGATTGTTATGGACCAGAAATTCCATACAGTTAATAATTTCATGGGTTGGTATAGTGTTTTTCTCAATGCATTATGAAGCTCTTCGTGTATATCACAATTTTAATGTCACTACTATGCTGTATATACAAGGCTGTGAGCTACACTTTTTGTGTAAAGATTAACGATACTAACCAGTCGTCCAAAGTTTGCGAGGTGGAGTGTTGTATTTACAGATGAATTTAGTTTCTACTTTTATTTTACCTATAAGATATTGTTAAAATATGCATGGTACACTTTGTCTTGTTCATTGATAATCCAGCAAATTGTGGTGCTAGATTTTTAGAGCACTAAATCTAATTGGGATTCTAACAACATTCTGCCATCAAAATAACATATTTGAAACAGTTATGGCTTATTTACGAGCTTTCGTCACAGGCTGCACTGGTGAAACAGGCAAAGCATTAATAAAATATCTGGCTAAGGATCCAAGGTACAGTTCTGTCAAACTTATACAAAGGCGTCCAACAGAAGTTGATTATGGGTCTGAGGCTAAAGAAGTTGAGAATCGTTTCAGTCAGATTATCGTAGATTTTGATCATTTGGATAATTATAAAGAAGTATTTCAAGACACTGATGTTGGCTTCTGCGCACTTGGAACAACAGCATGGAAGTCGGGGAAAGAAAATTTGAAGAAAGTTGATTGTGATTATGTAGTTCGTATTGCCGAGTTGAGCTCAGCTGCCGGTTGCAAAGAGTTTCATGTTGTCACTTCAAAAGTAAGTCACTAAAGCGTACAACTTTTGGTGTAAATTCCAGTAACTCCATGCTCTTGGATGTCTAAAGTGTTTTAATCCCATCAGTTAATGCTGAATAAGGCTAGTATCATCAAGTTGATATATGCTATGATCTGAGATATTGAGCTCATTTAAACTTTCACTATAACCATTCAAAGTGATGCATACCTATCACTAGTCCAAGTGATCACCTAGAAATAGTGTGATCCACTAGATTGTTCACAAACAGTAATTATCCATGGTTTCATGAAGTGGTTAAAATTGTAAGTTTATTCGTTAAACTGATTAACTGGTCATAGGTTGGTTGGAAATACTTCTTTTCAACCATCTTGTTATCAGTTGGGAAAAAGTCATTTACCCAGTATGATTCGAATGGAAATTGAAATACACTCGACAAAGACATGCACGTTTGTGTAGTAGACAGTTTGGAACATCTATTGTGTGAGGGCTGATGATAATATCCAACCGCTCCAAATTCGGTAGGTGGTGCAGTCTTCGAATATATGATACACTGGTAGAAAGTTGAATGCTTAGATCACCTAAACCAGCTCAAATTCTATCAAACAAAGCCCTCCTGCCCCGTGTGAGTGGATACATACATACATACGGCAAACTAATGTTGAAAAGTTACTTCGTATGTTACTTGTAAATATCTTTATCTCACCTATGCTTATCAACTGAATTTAAAGTATTGGATACAGGTCAACAGGTATTTATGTACGAGACTGTGACCCACACATATTTTGTGAGGGTTTATGAAACTACTCGATCACCCTGATCGAATTAGGTGAAGTCGGTTTTGAACTAATGAACCGCATTTTCAATCAAGTTGACAACGACAAACTTAATAGTAAAAGAGAATGAAGTATTCTTGTTCGAGATCATGAAAATGTTTTGATATGATTTTTCTCTTTCTATGTTCTATTAAAAAAATGGGGGTAACTGGGATGATTGGATATATAGCACAATTCATTCACGATGGCTTAAACTATCTGCATATTTTGCGTACAGTAGTAACATGTGGATGTAAAATGAATGAAGATATATGACTATTTTTGTTCGTTGAATAGTGCTTAGAAAAAGTAAGTGTTATGTCGTTCCTCACACAGTTTCCATTTATACTAGGTATGGCTTTTTTTTTTTTTGAGATGACTACCCATTTCCTTGCTTGGTTTCTTAATAAATTTTTATTTGATTTTATTATTTTTCAGGCAGCGCATGCAATGAGTATCTCTTTTTACTTAAAACTCAAGGCTGAAATTGAATTAAATTTAATTTGTGGAAATTTGTTTCCGAAATGTCTTGCGATATACCGTCCAGGTGTCTTGTTATGTTCTCGGGTTGAATCACGTCCACTTGAAAGAGTTTTTCAAATATTACTGAAACCTATATCAAATATTGCTCCTACATTGCTCACAACACCTGTTGATGTTCTTGCAAAAGCTATGAGTCGTGCTCCATTTTGTGAAAAGCTGACCACTGAAATATCTTCACAGCATGAAGTGAAGTTGCCGAAAAATATTCACATTCTAGAAAATCGTCACATCTTTGAGCTTGCATCGGATGGTAAGTCAGCATAGCTTTTTCTTACTTGAATCACTGTACTCACTTCAGATGCATTCACTGTCAAGTTTTTTGTTGTTGTTGTTGTTTTGATTCTCGAAGGATTCAATTTAAATCCAATCTTTTCCCACTCTCCTTTTTCTGTTGTATTTCACTTCTATTCTTCTACTGTTAATCTTCTCTTAGTGTATTATTGAAGGAAATATAAACTTGTATCGGATCCTGCTGTTTCACAAGGTCATTTAGATATATAGCATCACAATGATGTGTGTTTGTTAACGGTTTATTACCTTAAAAATTTCGTATAGCTTAAAAATCTTACATTCTTCTTGTTTGTTGTAATATCCTTCGGTTTCCGTTCATAACTCCTCCCTTGTCTTAGTAAACTGTAATCAGCTGAACTATTGAACTTCCATGCGAGATTCTTGATTGAACTTTGTCTATCTGACAGAAGAAGAGCATCATAATTTGATCAGCTTCATAGTAGATTAACTGTTCAATGTTCCTAACTTTCAGCAGTTCACTGTCAGAGGGTATGTAACAACCACTATTTCAGTGTTTATTTATATTCAGTTAAATGAGAATTTTCTTCATTTCCATTTGTTACAGTATTTCCTTATGCACGAATTTTATCACGATGATTTTGTTCAGGTAACTATATTTCGTGGAGGTTGATATGTTTAGTGCTTTACCCATGCGTGTCGGGAAATTCCATGTCCTTGCTGTGACATCTTTACACTAGCTGTAGATTCTTTTCTCATTCTGTGTATCTTATAATATTGTTTAGTGACTGTTGAATTTACTATTCCCAATTAGTTTTTTTTTTCTCTTGAGTACTTCAGTGACTACTAGATTTGCATATACGCTCTGTGTGTTGCAAAAAATTAAATATTGTTGAAGAAGACATGGGAAGAGTGCATCTCAACAATCACGTGGAATTTTGTGAAATAGGCTAGAGTGACACAGTATATTATGTCCATCTGACTATCATAACCTCCGTAGGCTTTTTGAAATTATTAGACATGATGTATGAAGTATCGTTGGTAGAATGTATCTGAATTCGTTATTAAGGAGAAGTGTATGAATCACTGTAGCAACTCAAACTTATTGGAGTGGTTTCATGTTTCGTTGCTGTTATCGTCTTTTTCGAGTACTACCAAAGTCTTAACAATATTTATTTTGTGCACCTCGTCTCATCATATTTCATATATACAAAATTTCCATTTCGAATGAATAAACAATTTCTTATTGCTTCAGTGTTACACTACATTCCTAAACCTTTGATTCAATAAAAATTAAGAATACACCGACTGATCATTGAGTGGCAAACAATCTAGCTATCAGTGCCCAGGATTGATCGAAGTTTATGGATCAAGACCAATTGACAATGTAAAGCTATTGTTTGTTGTCTTATATACTCATTTTAAGATAGTGAGTCCTGTGGTCAGATCAAGCTCAAGAAAACCAGGCAGGTTTCAGACCGGGATTTGGAGGGTGCATCGACCATATTTTTACCCTTCGACAGGTCTGGGACACACATATCTACCGACGATTGACACTTGCCATATTCGTTGACCTGTAGTCGGCATTTGACTCCGTCGTTCGTGAGGTATTGTGGCAATATCTAACTGAGAAAGGAGTACTAAGCAACTATATGATGCTAATCAAATCTCTCTACTTGAACTCACGTAGACGTTTCACGGCTTATGAAGATTTGTTGTGTGAATTGGCGACAACAAGTGGTGTCCACCAGGCTGTCCACTGTCACCGTTCCTGTTTAATTTCGTCATAGACGTACTAATAGACATAACCTTAGGTACGTCTGACTTCACAGGGATTGAGTTATTCTCTGGAGGTCACATGGTTGACTTGGAGTATGCAGACAATATTGTCCTATAGGGTGAAGATGCTGGAAAAATGCAGGATCTTTTGAACGCATTGAGTGGAAATTTATGTATGTTTGGCACGCATTTCGTGCCTGTCAAATGTAAGACGCTCCAGGACTGGTCTGCTACAACCACTTCCAGTTTAATGATAAAGAGTGAAGTGGTGAGATGTGTCGACCACTTCATTTACTTGAGTAGCTACAGCTGGCTGGTTGCTGACGAAATCTCAGCTCGGGTACTGATGGCTCGTTTGGCATTCTCCAACTTGCTCCAAATGGCGATATATCCGACTATATATATCAAAGGACGAGTATACTGCGCTGCAGTCTGTTCTGTCCTGCTATACGGCCGTGAAACATGACCGTTAAAAGATGTGAAGTGGTTACAGGATTTGGTCATAGGTGTCTTCGTAGCACTAGTCGGGTTTAGTGGAATCACCATATGAACAATGTTAAGGTCAGGTGAAGGGTGATATGCAAGCTAGGCAAATCAACTGATGAGGTTGTGAGCCCTCATCGGCTTAGGTGGCTTGGACATGTGTTGTGTAAAGAGATCCACCGCCAACCTCGACATGCTATGATAGGAGAAGTTGGGTTAGGTTGAAAGAGGTGGTTAGACCAAGACATGGAGCGAGCGCATGAAGTCCCTAACTGTTTGTCTGAGACTTGTAGGGCGATATGGATTGAGTGGGTATGATTCTCAATATGATAGGAATCAGTGGTTGATAACAGTAAGTGATTTAGTAATTCCCATTGTAACGTCTAGATATTCAGCGAAGAGACTTTTTTCAACGAATTTCTTTCCAAGCTGTACCTTCGTTTATGTATGATATTTGAAAAATTGTATTTCATAAAGAAAACTAAACACATGATGATGACAATAATAATAAAATGGATGATGACAGGTATTTGTGGTTATGATAACGGTTGGAGTATGAATGATAACAAAGTAGATTGCTTAGTATATGGAGTGGTTCATAAAGGCAATTATAATTACATTACTAATGATAAAGGAAGGATACAAAGGTTAAATTAACGCTTAGTGATACGGCTAGTGGTCGGTCTTAGGGGCTGGGATGTAATCAACGTTTGATGCTTTCTAAAGCTTCGATGTTCGCACTGACCGTTACCTTCAGATTATTTATTCTCCTAAAAATTTTGTCTACTTTGATATCAGTCCATTTCTGTCTACCTGTTTTTTGTTTAGTACTGTGAAGTATGGCAATCTGAGCCAATTAAACTTATGCGCAAGGTTCTACTTTGATTTTTCCAGTCATCCACTGAGATCGAATCCCGTTCCACCTACCTCAGCCAACTAACCCGATTAGTATTTTAAGTGCATGCTTACTGTTTAGTATATCAATAACTATACTAGATTGGATTACATTAATAATCGCCAATTTTTATGATGAGAAAGAAAGGATGTTAGGTTAGATGTAAAGCCTTAAGTCTACGGTATATTGTTTTTCATTGATGTTCATGTCAAGACTTCTGAAAACCATCTTTTTGTAAGAAGACTTCAGGAGGTTAGACAGACAGGTAGAGCAATGTTGTAACATACAGAGAGGTAGATTAGTTCGAGTCGTTACCTTTTAAAAGAAGAAGGGAATAAGGTTGATATGTTGTGAAAGTAGACGAGAAAGTTAGGAGAGAACTATCGAATGAAGTGTAATCAAAACTTCTAAGTATTCAAAGATCCTATGGAGTATACTGTAATCCACTTTGAGATATATCATGAGATATTCTACAAATGAATCAATATGATGAATGTCAAAATGGAGTAGTGACTGAAATTAACATGTTTGATAGGGAAATATTATTCCCCTGATTTACTTTTCTCTGTGAATCAGCGATGCATAAATGGATTGGTTTTAGTATTCTGTGTATGAAAATTGACGTCCAAAAGAATATTTCCAGTTTTGTGCCCAATGAACTTCATTTAAACTAACAGAAACTTACACTTCCTAGTTCTCCAATTCACAATACGCTTTGCTAATCAGTTTGGATAATTTCTATTATCGACAACTTTTCGGTGATTTCTAGTTATTTTAAATGGTATATACTGCCTGAAATCAAGTCTAGGAGTATGAGAACTCAGACGTTTTCTTTTCTATACATAGTTTCCTTCTTGAAGATATAGCCTTAAGATGAAGTGTCATACTTACAAAAGGGTCTGTATTAAAGAATGTTAAAAGGAAAAGTGATAAAGATTGGTACTTTTATCTTCTTGCTTATTTCATCAGTTATATGATTGATTACTAGTTGGTTGTTGATGCCATCTTTATTGATTGTGGAGTTTTCATTTCACATCCTAGCTAATATACTTACCGTTCACTGTTTTAATTTTCTAAAAACACTGGGATTGGTTTAGAATATATTCTTATAACAATGTAATCAGAATTGAAGCTCAGTTTTTGCGGGAGATATTTGTAACAACTATTGTCTAGATGTTTATAATGATAAGAATCCGTATACCCTGTTCTACATACATACGATATCTACACTTTAAGTTTGAGATGTTTTTCTATGAATGTTTTCCCGTCGTGCACCACGTAGACGAAACTATTCAACTCAATCTGTCCGAATACACTGTTACTGAACGTCATCGTCTACAAGAAGAATAGGTGTTCTTTGTCGAAGTCAACCCAATTTCGCTGATTAAACCTGCTGTTAATTTGTATTGGATTTTCCGAAATATGCATCACTGAGAACACCTGGCAAATACATTGTCTATCTAATGAGTATGTATGTGAAGTTCATTCAGTGATGTCGATGGCTTAAAACTCTGCACCACGAGTTATATTATTCAGTAGAAATTAAGAAATGTAGTAAGCCTGAGGATAGTATCTGTTCACGATAGCCTTTGATTGATAAACCCTAGGTTTCTCACCAACTATCATGTTCTCTTAGCCGTAACTAGGTATGCCTCATTTCATTTCGTGTAATCAAATATTGGATATTAGAAACAAGTCAGAGAAGTCAACAAACCTCTCATTTCAAGTTGTTATTCATCGAAGACTGATGATGTCAGTCTGATGTCAGTCTTCGATGAATAACAACTTGAAATATTTCCAAATCTCCACAACCCCCTCAAAATTTAAACCTCTCATTCTTTTACTACCTAACTTAGCCAAAGGCTTGGATTTTGAAACTTTATTCACCAAAAGTATATTGATGTAGAGATCTGCACTCAGCATATGGAACAAGATCCGGATTTTCAACACCAACGTCAAGTCAGTGCTCCTGCATGGTTCAGAGACTTGGCGCGTTACGAAAGGCATTTCCAACAAACTACAGACATTCATCAACAAC